AAATAATCTGGAGTCTGACTCCTGAATACTGAACCTACGTGCTGGATCAGCATTCCTCTTGGTTAATGGTACGGTCATCTTTCCTTCGAACACAACTCTCCTTGATTCTTGGCAGAGGAAGGAATGCCCTATAAGACAAACGGTCCATTGAAATCACCTTGTGAAAATAAGTGAAGTGGATACATCTAAATTCCAGACATGCTTTCCTTTTGGGTCATATCTCAAGTGATTTATGATGTGTTCCTAACCGAGGCAGTGAGAGAACATACAGTTCTCTGCGGTTTGAGCCGTTTGGTCATTTTTGGGTCTGTCTGCTAAAGATTCTGATGTGGGATCTCTAACTGAAGTGATTCTCAAATGCCTGCTCACACATGAGACGAAAACATCAAATCTTTCACTCTCCACAGATGTTTTTAATTGCTCTAAAAAGCTAAATCATCTTGATGCTTTACTTAAAACTGCTTAATTGCTCAGTTTCACTTTGAGATTCATTGTGTTAGAGTGTAGTCCCTGAGAATAGTTTTCCCATTGTAGTTTATTAGGCTTATAACCCCCTCATGTCATCGGAATGAAACACTAACATTCTAGCAACTCTATTCACAAAACTGTATTTAGAAAGTTAAAGTTATGTGCGGTCTTGCCAACAAATATTTCAGCCCACTAGAAGTAGAGCATCACCTGCAGCATTATTATGGTTAATATAATGTTGACACACGTTCTATACATACCTATCTATCCAAACATCATTTCCGTCTTCATATCCAAATCCATTTTTCTGCTTTACCCAATTCTCTCCTTGCCTTTGTACCCTTCATCGGTCCTCAAGAGTCCGGTGGGTTCACTTTCCAAGCTATGCTGCCTTTTGTCCATATGATGAATGTCCAGCAGTGATCAGCAAATCAAAATTCGGGAATGGTTTAGTACAGTGTGTCCTCACAGTGGATTCATAATTGGCTCTGGTTGTGGTGTAAATCATTGTAGAACCATATAATGCATGTGCATATGAAGCTATGAAGGCATCTGAATGTACATTTGCACATAATGTCTGTCTTAGTAGCTGTCAGTGCTTTGCATTTTGTCATTTTTGTCTAGTACTCTGGTTAGCGCAGTGTGTCTGTCCGTGTGTGTATGTTCAATGTGCTATCGTGTACAGCAAGTGTTAAAATGTACTGATTTCTATCTTTTCAACCCTCCATGTGTTTTGTGTGTATAGGCCGGTATTGCAGGAGCACCTGCTCGTGCCGTATCAGCTGTAAAGAACATGAACCTCCCGGAAATGCCCAGAAACATCAACATTGGTGACATCAGCATAAAAGTGCCAAATTTACCCTCCTTCAAATAGTGGCCGCACGTTCCTGAAGCTGCAGATGTCAGCCAAGGTTTACCGTGATGCAATCTGTTTACCAAAACCTCAAATTGCTAACTTTTATCAAAACTTTACATTTTGAAGGTACTGTGTGATTTGACACTCCTTGTTTTGTGTTCTCTTTTTGTTTTTCCTATTAAAGAAAAAATGTTTTATGTGTCTTTTTTTCAGTTGGAAGGAAAAATGAAGTATTTATTTATTTGTGGTACATTCCTTCTGCCTCGCTGGAAGTTGGCACTTCAGCTGCTACAGTTCAGATCTGTGTCAGTTTGTAACTGGAATTATTTCACTGACTCAAGTGTTTACTTAGAAGACAAAGTGTGGCAGGTGGTGAGGTTTTGGTACAGTCTCATTGGTTTGGTTATGGCAGACCAGAGAAATCAATCAATACAGGATAAGGCATGAAACTATTTCCAATACCAAATTGGAACAGGTCTACAGTATTGAAAGTCATAAATATACAGCCTGTTTGTAAAATCAGTGCAAAGAATATTATTATGTTACAGTTATGCTGTGTGAAAGAAATATGGATATATATGCTGAAATGATTTTCTCTTTTCTTATCTGGATGAACAAACCTTTTTAAATGATTTATCATGTCTCTTGATCTTAATTTTAAACTGTGCATGACTTTTTTTCCCTCTTCTTTTTCAACATAATAAACTGTCGAAACCCAACCTTTGTGTTTGCCTTATTTTATCATTACTATAATCTTACATTGTCAATTTTTCTTTAACACAGTAGCACTGCCATAGGTGCAGCACGCCAGTACATTTCCACTCTGTTATTATCCACGCACATCTGCCCCTTCCTTCAGACTTCCTCACAGAGCCCCTCCTCCAACACACACGAACGCGCACATGACCAATGAGGACACGAGATGGAAGGCTGACAGGCAGGTAGGCCATCCAGTTATTTTAGCCGGGCCGGCTAAAATAATTGGTAGTGCTTTTTAAAAATGTTTCAATGTATTTATTGTCAAAGCATTTCATATTAATTGCTATCGGGATGTTAAGAGCATTCCATGGAATATAACAAAAAGTGTTTCTGAAGTGAACTACCTACCCCACCTTTAAGGCATAAGCCCTTAATGGTGTAAACCAGGGGTGGGGAACCTCCGGCCCCCGGGCCATATACGGCCCGCGAGACCAATTGGTACGGCCCTCGAGGTAATTTATAAACACACGCAAAAAAGAAAAAAAATTAAAGAAATCTAGACCACCAAAAAATGAAACAAGCGAGTGCCTGTTTTTCCTGGCAAAGGTNTCCTAGAGGAGGTTAAATCATGGAAACTAAATACATTTGCACACATCTTGTGTCCATATCTTTCTGTTTTGGGGTTCATGCACGTGCATGCATGCGCGAGTCATGGTAAAATATCTGGATTAAGACGTTGCTTTTTCTTTGCACAGCATGAAAGAAAAGCCAAATGAATGGGCTGTGATTTTAGTATTTTTAAGCAGAGGCCAATAATTTGTACGGCCCTCGGAGGATGTTGTAAAAATTGAAATGGCCCTTGAGAGGAAAATGGTTCCCCACCCCTGGTGTAAACAGTGTCAGCAGATAATTCTGCTTTCACGTGGAATGATACATGATATCTAAAAAAAGATGTGCTTGCTTTGCCTATTAGCAAGCAGTGGATAAATGTGTACATTTACTCAAAAACAGTACTTGAGAACAATTTGAACATAGCATAGGCCTACTGGTATTTCCATGTTATGCCTCTTAATATTTCTATTACCGGTGTGAAAGCGCTACATAGGGGAATACAGTATTGTTCTTCTTATGTAATTTAAAGGTATTTTTTTTTTTTTTACATGCTCTTTTATGTCACTAATCTTCCCAAATTGCCGAACTACAAAATTGTTTTTTCTTTTATGTCTTTGTTAGTGTTAGAAACAGATTAAAAACATATTCAACAACACTGAAAGAGGCCACTATGTACAATTTTGAATTCGGAACATTACCTTGTATTGGAGAATTATTGAAAATATTTTGAAGATTTAAAGGATGTTACCAGACTGTAAATATAGGATGTTGTTCAATACTATTGAAAATCATGGCTGTAAATAATACTGCTTTCGCTTTTTTGTTGCCGGCTCTGTTTGTCCATCGCTAGTTCCATAGTGACTCTTGGAGCAGACACTTTTATTCTGCGCAGCTTTAACGCTAACTACGCTCCGGCGAGTTCCATATATTACACGGTCACATATGCTTTCATATAAAATCTGTGTCGACACCGATGTGTCATTACTCATCAGTGACACCAAAGTAAACGTTTAAAAAAATAATCTCTTTAGTATATTTATTGTTCAAGATCCTGTACTTCACTGCGCATTATCGCGCAGCTTTGACTGTCACGTGAGTCGTCTCGTGACAACAGGAAGAAGGAATGACAACAGTGTGAGGATGCTGCTGCTGCTTTGACACTTTTTTACTCTTATTTTTCATTTTCTGAACGCAACAGCCAACAATGACTTCTTTTATAAAAGAAACTCAAAGGTGGGCAGCTTCTGTTTGTTTAAATTCAGATAAAATAAAAAATGTCTAGCTAACGTTATGATAGTTAAGTCTCATGACGAGAAAAGAAGGCTTCCTCAAAGTGATCCATATTGTGACTTGGTGCATAACTTTACATTATCAAACACATTACCCTGTCTCGGTGACTACTTGTATTACTGCTCTTTTCATTAAACCGTGACTTTATCCTGCTGCTTTGCTCTTTTGGGGGGAGACGTTTACACAGGCTGTCTTATGCCAATGTCTGCTAACACACCCAAAAACATTTACAAAAAAAAGTATTTTTGGTAGCCAGCATTGAGATGTAGACAATCCCCTTTGCACGGTCTCGTCTAAGGAATTTAAGAGGGAAATGTACATTAATAAAAAAATATCACAAAAGTCTCCAAATCAAATGTAAAAGTTACTTTGCAGAACAAGGTTTTACACTTATATTTCATGTACAACATATTGTAGCTATGATGCATTGTTTTAGGTTCAAACTAGGCAGCAGCATTGGGATATCAAACCACATCTAATATTATAAAACAAAGACTGTGAAGTGCTGTGCATTTGAGTAAAAATGTCTCATGTATATAAATTACTATGTAAGAGGTTGGGGGTTAAAAGTCACAAATGTTCTAAATGGGTGCTTTTATATGCCATAGTAACACATTATTTGTAGTGTTTCTATAGTTATTATAAGTCGTTTTTATTTTTTAGTTGATGGAAATAAAATATACACTCGCTCATGCTCACATACAAATGGCTCAAGAGTAAAGCAGTATCATTATGTAAGATGCACAAACTGGGCCTACAGTCACCTATTTTCAGTTTGAAATACATCAGTGTTTGTAGTGCTACTACATGCCTAAATAAAATGTTGACTGCTCCCGTTTGATTGAGTACATGAGCTTTGTAAAATTGCTACCTTAGTTTTGAATGCACATATGTACAGCTATTGAAATAGGTAGGTAAACATCATACCTACTCTGTACCTGCATGTGACTGCTATGTCTGTGTTTGCGTAATATTCTTTATACTCAAACTCATGTACACCCAACCCAACCTTTAAGCTGCTATTTCATCCGTATATAGGGGATGTGTTGAAATTAACTGACAACCAGCTTGAGATATGTCGTATGTACTTGGGCAGTACACTTTGATTCTGATGCTTTCTGCGCCGCTGATGTTAACACTTGCAACTCTTCTTCCCAAACAGCATAAAAGAAGCTGTAACTTTTATCAACGCAATTGATGTGAACAAGTTCTCCAGGCTGATCTCCCGCATCATACAGAAGCTGCATCTGAAGGTACAGCAACCACACAGCGTTATGGACTTGTTAAAGACAAGAGGCTTGTGAGGCAGAGCGCAGAGTGCATAATGACCTGCTGGAGTATTACTTACACTCAGCTTTAATGAATGCACACACATGCCGCCCTGTTGATCATGCTGCTTCTACACAATACTCAGCGGTCAGTCATTTACTGCAAGAACATTGTGTCTGTTTTTTTCAGTTTTTGATTTGCTAAGAGAAGGTAAACAAGTTTGTCTTATAACAATATATCATTAAATGATCATTTGAAATGTCGGAGCATGTAATCCCCAGGAGTAACCAAAAATATTTGATGTTTTGAAATACTTAGCACTGACATGTCTCCCTGTTGCACTTAACAAGCAAAGAGCTATTCTTAATGTTAATTCATTTAAATAGTGCTTTTCTGCCCTGTCAATCCAAAATGTCCGCTGTTAAAAAAGTCTATTCACATCAGTTAACCCTCTCTGATATATTTTTGTCTAAATGGCTACACATATGCTGGCCTCTTATGCCCACATTTAAACTATATTAAACCTTTTTCATATGTTTTATGATCAATAATTTATCAATTCTCGCTTACATTTTCTTTATTTTTTCTGTGGATATTTTCAAGCAGACACAGTAATGAATGCTTTCTGCACAGAGAGAGCGTACATTCAGTGAAGAGGAGGAAGAAAAGCTCCAGGCTGCTCTCTCATTGGATAAACAGGCTCTCCATCTGGTCCTGGAAACTGCTGCCTTTATACTTGAACAGGTAAGGCGTGGTCGTCCGACATCTGCTACACTATTGAAAGGATTTGACCTGATTTGAGTTTATAACGTGATTGTGAAAGGCTTTCATTTCTGCAATGTTGGATTTCTTTGATAGATACGTACATCTTGGTTATTTGAAAACATATTTTATATAACATTAGATATTAGCTTTAATAGAGGAGGTCAAATAAAGATGGACATTGGGGGTAAAATGCAGCGCGCAGGGTTAAGTGTTGTTTGGTTTGAGTCGTTTGTAAAAACAAACTAAGTTAACAGAGAGAAACAGAAGGAATATGATGACTAACCATTTATATATGTTGTTTCATTGCACACACACATGCATGTCCACTTTATATTTACCTCCTGGGATTGTTTACATTACACAAATATATTTAACTGAGAAATAAATGTTTGTATGACCATGGAAAGTGATGGAGAGACAGATCAGTGCATCACTTTACAAACCATGCTTATGAAAAGAGACAACCCACCATAGTTGGCCACATCTCTTAAAGGGCATATTCTCCGTAAATCAATATGTCGAGACTTGATAAGAGCCTCACAAGATAGAAATGAGCATATTGCTGTGGTTACTGTTAGTGTGGATAACATTGTGCTTAATTTTCTCCAGCTGGGGTCACTGTTGTTTCATGGATTGGTGTACTGTATGTGTTTGGGGGAAATAGGAATATGACGATATGAAGGATCTGTTAAACCTGTGAAAATGGTTAATTGCAGTATTTATAGTTAAAATACTTCTCTAATCTGTATGTCCTTTTATTGTAGGCAGTGTATCATAGTGTGAAGCCGGCCTCTCTGCAGCAACAGCTGGAGGCGGTGCATCTTGACCCAGACAAGGCTGAGGCGTTCTCTCAAGCATGGGCCACAGCTGGACCTGAGCTGGTGGAGAAACTAAAGCACAGTACCTTCGCCCCAAAGAAGGTACGGCTAATTTGCATGTTTTTCGCCTCTAACTCTGAACTTTACAAGCACCTGATACAGCACCATTTGAACCTGACCTTGTTTCTAAACGCAATTGTAAGATTCATCCTCTCCCAGACACTTTTTGATTGAAAGTATAGCTTACTTATTCGCATGGTTTCATCCCTTTTTGGTGGGACATCATAGTCTCTTGATACTAAATTGTGTATCAACGTCGTGACTATCCATATCAACGCTGACCTGCTTTTGTTTGAATTCATTCCCGCTGTTTGTATCATAAAGAGTTATCACACAGATCACAGAAGTTTTCACATAAACTGAAAAGAAGGTGTTCCTCTCTACAAGTTGATTACGCGCTGACACTTCAAACGCAATCCTTACAAAGTTAAGGGAATTAAGATCTCACAGAGAGTAAATAAGAAGCATACATATCAGTCACTTTATGCTGGAGCTGTTGCTGCTGTCATTTCCCCTGCCTGGGTCTCTCAAGTCAGTTTTCTCTCTCGTCTCCCCCATGAATTTGTTGCTGCCATCTGAAGGCGGTGAAAGCCATTTTTCCTTGAGACGACCTCTGCTACCGCTTTGATTTTGTAACTGACATCTAAGGTTTTCTTATCCGCTTTTTTCTAGTGAATAGAAAGCAGGCGTTTTCTGTTTAGCGATTTCTTTGACTTTGACAAAGATGTAATGCTCTTCTTACAGGATTTTAGCTTTTGACATTCACCAAACTATACTTGTCTCTGCTTTCTCATATTCGCAAAATATGACGTGTCAGGAAATTCTCAACCGCTGTCCCACTAGACTAGAGGTGTTATTATGAAGACTTTTTTTTATCCACGAAAGAAACAAGAATAATTAACATTTGATATGTTTTATATTTGTGGGTTGTCTATCTTTATTACAAATGCATTTTCCTATTCACAATCAAATGCCAACGTGTTAGAGGAAATGCCAGTCTGTTCTTCTATATTTTGCAAAATTGCAACAAGTTAATTTGTCTTATAACGGTTGCTTTTTTAATCTAAATATCATAAAGTTATTTGTTATGTTTATTTATCCCGGATTGGCTAGCATGTGGATAAAGGTTACATTTCTGTTTGGAGATTAAACATCCTTGATTCCAGCTTTGATGCTTTTGGGACTCATATTTCTCAGTAACTCATTGTTGAGCTGCACTGCCCTTTGTAATTTCCTAACTTGTCTAGACTGGACAAGTCTGCCAGCTGTCTGATTGATTAGCCCAGTTCCTGCTTCAATCAATGCTGCTGTTTACACAGAATTAAGAGATGTGTCTTTGTCTGCGCTGAACAACAGTGAGGATTACTTTAATTACCTGCTGAGTTTACTTGGAACACCTACCAACAAATATTAACGTGATGGAGCAGGAAATGCATAATATACATTAATATGGTACTGTATATTAGTTTTTTTAATGATTAATCCTTTATTTAATCATTTGTATGTATGATAATGTATACTATGATGTAATGTCTTTGCATATACTGAATGTTAAATGAGTAACACATCATAGAGTTGTGATGTTTATTCACGCTAATGTGTGGGCTGTTCCTGTTGTGAATCACGTAGCCCCGCCCTTCCCCACCTCACACCTGTCCTCCCAATAAGTCACACATGGTTTATTAATATGGCCTCGCTCTGCATCATAAAACACTTAACTGCCCTGCCTTGACTCAGTGCTGCTCATCTTTCACTCTGCTTCAGCACACTGACACTGACACCAATAGTCTGACAAAATGAAGCTGGGAAACAAGGTAACTTAAACTTTGATTAAAAAAGTTCTACAGCACTAAATGTTAATCTCTTTTATAATTACCATATTCATAAATTCATAAACATGTTTTTAATATTAGTCTCGGTTTGAAGTCCCAGAAAACAAGAAAGAGAAAGTATGAGACAAAACTTTTAAATTAGTTGACAAAAACTCCTAGTACGATTCTGAGATTATATTTGTCTTGATTAATCAATAAGTCCACGGGAACAAAAGGTTTCTGCAAATATCACAAAAGTAAATAATAGCTTAAAATTGTCAAGCCAAAATGACAAACACTCGATTCCAGGTGTTTCAAATGTGAGATATGGTGTTCAGTGTTTCCTCTAGGATGGAGTCATAGCAGCGGTGCTAAGGCACGTGGGCCCAGCATAATGTGAGCGCGGAGCGTGTGGAATTTTTTAGTGTGTGCGCGTGCAAAGTGCGCCCCGCCAATTTGTTTCTATGTGTCAGCACAAGAAAGGCTCTTGAGGCCTAGTACCAGGGCCGGTTCTAGACAATTTGCTGCCCTAGGTGAGATTTTAGGCGACATTTTATGTGTAAAGATAAATGAAAAATCTCTACAAAAGACAAATACACTGCAAAAACAGAAACTTATTGACATGGGTAATAGACGTCAAAATTGCTTCAAATGTATTCAGTGTTGTATGAACATGTTTGAATTGGGGGGTGGACGTGATATCCTCTAGGGGGGTCCGGGGGTATGTCCCCCCGGGAAGATTTTTTTTTGAACATTTTACAGTAAAATGCTTCAATCTGGTGCACTTTGAGCACACAATTACTAGAGACCTGATCTAGGGGGTACAACTCTAAAACGCCCATATGAAAAAGATTGGTTTACATTTTAATAATCAAATAAGTATGTGAACATAANAAAGTAACATCATATCTTATCTTAATAATATCTTCATATTAATAATAATAATAAATCATACAGTATGTGTCCGAAAGGGAGCAGGAGGAAGCAAACACAAAAATATACTGCATATTAAAGCAAACGATTGTAAAGGTTAAAGTATGAGCATAACAAATAAAGAAGTGTAATGTAAACATTTACATTATGATTATTTAAAGACTATATATTATTGAATTACAAGATTAGATATACTTTAGTTGATCTAAAATATTGATGTGTTCAAATGCTCTTCAAAACACAACTGAAAGTCCATGAAACTTGTCTTTCTGTATTTGTGAATGAAGCGCCATCTCCTGGTTAAAACCTGAAATTGAAAATCTGGCAACGCCCTCTTGGAAAATAGTGGGAGGGCTTAACATTCCCCTATACTGGTCTTTGGCAGGTGGGAGGCAGGAAGCTGTAAGCTGGAGTCTGAAATTCAGTGCTCCATCTGTAATAGACGTAAAAAAAATTATTCAGTATTGTATGAACATGTTTGAATTAGGGGGTGGACATCACATCCTCTAGGGGGGTCCGGGGGTATGCTCCCCCCGGGAAGATTTTTTTTGAACATTTTACAGTAAAATGCTTCAATCTGGTGCACTTTGAGCACACAATTACTAGAGACCTGATCTAGGGCGCACAATTCTAAAACGCCCGTATGAAAAAGATCGGTTTACATTTTAATAACCAAATAAGTATGTGAACATAACCAATAACCTACCATAGCCAATAACAAATAAATGTAGCTTATTTTATTTTTGTTGTTCATTCATATCTTATTTTACCTATTTTAACCTAGCGCTCACCGTACAGGGCAAATTAAACGTGCAACCGGGGTGAAAAGGGTGTTACATTGACTTAATTATGAATTTTGTTACATCAAGGCCGAACATGTGGATGAGCGGCAACAGTCAAAAATGTTTTTTCCCTCCCAGAGCTACCAGCGCAGTGCCCCCCAGATCTGGCGCCCTAGGCGAGCGCCTGTGTCGCCTATGCCAGTAACACAAATACTACAAATCTACATAACAAACAATCAAAAATGAAAAAGGGTCGCCACTTATTCTTTTAAGAAAAAAAAAAAAAGTAAAACAATTTTTTATTTTTTGGGGTACCTGGCTGGCGCCCCCTAGCAGCGGCGCTCATATTTCAGCAGCGGCGCTGCGCCGCCACTATTTGTATATAGGGGAAACACTGGGTGTTATATTATTATTAAATTGTACATTGTTTGGTTTTCAGACTGTGGAAAACACTACAGATTGTCATCTACGATAAAATGACAGATATCGCTTAATTGTAAAATAATCTGCCGTTTAATCGATAATGAAAATAGCAGCCTTATACAAATACAACATAATGTCTTTTACCTACATAGGAGAGGTACAAAAGTGTGATTTACTTGATTATCAATGTATACTTACTTGCTTGTTTGCCTTTATGATAATTATTATAGAGTTAATTAGTAGTTGGACAAATCAACGATTACAAAGCGCGTTCAAAAACATAAAGCAATAATAATAATAGCCAAAACGGGGACAAATCTAGGTCAAATAAAATGTATATTAAAAAAATTTAAACAAATGCATATTTTGAATCAGAAACCCTTACACTGTTATTCTATGGTATAAATGTGACTGCAACGTTTTTCACTTAGTCTTGTAAAATGTGTCGGACATTTATAAATTAGATTGTGAGGCTTTATTACAACTACATCAGTATTAAAGACAGACTGGCTGCTTTGTGTGTTGCAGCTGGAGTATGTGGGCTGGCAGTTGAACCTGCAGATGGCCCAGTCCAGCCAAGCCAGACTGAAGTCTCCCAGCGCCGTCCTCCAACTGGGACTCCGCAATGAGGACTCTGAGGTACAACAACACACACACGCCCGCACACACACAACGTCATTATTTTTCTTCCTCTTCTCTCTTCACTTCTTTTCCTCTGCAATCAGAGATCTGTTCTGTGTTTGTGCCAAATGGGAGGCATCTTCAAGCTGTTCCTCTTTCTCTGCTAATAGATGGTAATCCCACTGGTGTCTGTCTTGACCCAGAGGTAGACGTACATCTGGCTCCAGAGTAACTGTAGTGTAAAGACCAGAGATCAGGGAGCTTGTTATCGGAAACCTCCAGGGGGTCTTTGTGCTCTGAAAGACTTCCTCTGCATCTACAATTGGACAGTTTGTGCCTTTTATTGGAGGGTTGTATTGCAACTAGCATTGAACTGTATCCATTTATACTCACAGTATTGAAGCTTGTTTACTATATGTTTGAGATTTATACTTTGATGTTTGCCTTATTGAAGTCACTATTGATGTTCATTTCCTCAGTTTGAATACTCAATGTTTGAATTTACATTAGTGAACATTTAATACATATATTAAGGATTTTGGTGCAGCATCCCAATTAAGCCTTGCCCTAAATATGTATAAAGGAACATAACAACACACATATGGTTTAGACTTTCCACGTTAGCATTTCCATGTTGCCATTCATTTGTATGCAGTAGAGTGTATTTGGATCCCAATTAGCTCGTGCTATGTAGTGATTCTAATAGCCAAGACCTCATGAGCCTGCCTCACTCATTTCTTTGTTTCCCTCTGGGAGCAGGATTGCTCTGTTTCTGTAGAGAAAGGAGTGAGAACTCTGTTTCATTTTCACTGTGAATAATCTTCAGCCTTTAAACCACCTGATTCGATCAAAAATACGTTATCGAGACTTAACAATGAGATTCTTCGACCAACATCACAAATGCCCACATACTTAGTGAGATAGGATTAATCAAGTGCTTTGACAAATATTTGGAATATATTCTGCAGATTTGAAATGCTAAATAGGACTGCTGTTTGTTGGCATGGATACTGGATATTTTAGTTATGACTGGTTTCTTTTAAAGCAGTTTTGGTCTCAAAATGGAGGGGCTGATTATACTTCGAGCCTGGATAGTATTGTTCCAGCTGACTAGTCAAGTGTCTTTCTTTCACACTGCTTTGTATTCAGTCCCTAGAGAACGCCAGCTCAGCCTAAACGGGGAATTAGGCATGACATATTCAAATTGCTGCTGTCCTAAATGTGGGCCTATAGGCGGAAGCTAGAAAAAAGACATGTTCTTCTTTATCTTTGTGAATGCGACAGCAGTTGTATTTTTTTTCTTTTTGGACTATTTTCTGCTGTGCTTTCCCAAGGCTAGCAGAAAAGGCATTCATTTATTTAAATCCATTTGCACAATTCCCGTTGTGGGAGGAGATAGCTGGGGGGCTAAAACAAGGCTGGTTAAAAGTGTAGAGAGGGGATCAACTTCAGTGAAAATGACTGTGGTGCACATGCTCTGGTGAACTGCAGGGGGCACTGTTGTCTCACAGGTGGGAAAGAGTCCCTCAGCGGCATTGACGGAGCTTAGAGATGGATAGGATACCTCATTTAACTATGTATCAAAGCAATGCGAGTCTGCACAATTTCTTATTTTCAATTTTCTTCAGCATTTTCAGATTAGTGTTTCCTGAGAGTGAGTTTGTTTTCTTTCAAAGTCTGAGGCTCGGTAACAACTTCTTAAATGTGAAAACACTGCGATGACTGAGAAGTAAATTAGATGCAAATCAAAGTGAAATTCAACTGCAAGTGTCATACTAATTACAAGGCCGATGTATAACTTCCTCACTGCTAACAGTATAAAGGAAGGGCTGGGCAAAACTGCAAGCAGGAGGAGTGCGGGGGTCAGGGGAGAGTAGCAAGGGAGATGTAAGGGAGAGGGAGATGAGGTGAAAACAAATATGAAGGGTACATAGGGAGTAAAATAATGAAGACGAAGAGGATGAAGGAGAGAAGAAGAGGACGGCGAGGGTGGCCGTCTCTATATTATTGATTGCTTGGAACCCAAGTGGAGAGTCAGAGTCTCTCCCATCTGACCAGCCTCCTGTTTCATTAACACTCTCCCTGAGGAGGAGGAGGAGGAGGAGGAGGAGGAGGGAGGGAGGGGGAGGGGGAGGGGGGAGGAGGAGGCGTGCCGAGGGAGTCTTCACATCCGTTCCTTCTGGACGACGTCGCCGAAGGCACGACGA